CTATCACTATATGGCATTTTTACTTGTTAAAAAAGTGGTACATAGAAACATTTAAAACTATAAACAAATCATAGAAAGTAAAAATTCAAATCTCACTTTCAGAGTCAACTATTACTAATTTCTTGCTAGCCTCCCATTCTTTTTTCTGTTCAAATATACTTACAAATATGGGCTCACCTAGTATATTTTGCTTTGCAACCTACTTGCATCAGTGAATAATATAACCTGGTCCTCTTTCCATGTTAATGAACATTCCTTTGTGGCATGATTTATTAAAGCTTATATGGATAAATCACATCTAAGCCTACCGTTAGATGGTAAGGCTGTTTTAGGGAGCCCTGGTGGCGCAGTGGTTAAGTGCTCAATTGCTAATCAAAACGTCAGCTGTTAGAACCCACCAGCTGCTCCATGGGAGAAAGATGTGGCAGTCTGCTTCCATATAGATTTACAGCCCTGGAAACCCTGTGGGGCAGTTCTATTCTGTCCTATAGGGTTGCTATGAGTCGGAATCAACTTGACGGCAATGGGTGGGGTTAATGCAGTTTTACTTTTGTCATATTATAAACAAGGCTGCTAGGAGTATCTTTAAGCTATATCTTTGTGCACATCTATAATTATTTCCTCAGGCTAATTATCAAAAGTAGGATTAATGGGTCAAAAGGATGTGCCTGGCTATATTTTGACTTTTGTTCCTCCACCACTGTTCACTATTGCTTCTTGCCATTCCAGTGATCGCTATTCCAGCATTCCTGGTTCTTCTCTATTGTCTGCCTACACACACACTTTTGGAAGCACCGGAAAGGCGAGCACAGTTTCGCCAACAAAATGCAAGCACAGTTTGGCCAACAATACGGCTTTAACTTTAAGCTAAGGAGCCCTGGTGACGCAAACGGTTAAGCACTCACTGCTAACCAAAAGATTGCTGGTTCGAACCCACCCAGTGACTCTGAGGGAGGAAGACCTGGCCATCTGCTTCTGCAAAGATTACAGTCAAGAAAACCCTATAGGGCAGTTCTACTCTGCCACATGAGGTTGCTATGAGTTGAAATTAACTTGATGGCACCTAACAACAACAACAACTTCCAGTGGATGTACTTTGCAAATGAATTTGCCTGGAAAGAAAATGGCTCACACATGCAAATGAGTTTAAAGTAGCTTTAAGATCACTACAGGCAGCTGTGTTTAAATCTAGTGTTACGAGCACAGTGCCTGATTCACGGTAAGTACTCTATAAATGCTTTTTTACTGAGATTATTTTCAGTAAATACTTGTTGAAAGCCCAAGATATGGGTGCCGTTGTTGTTGTTAGGTGTCATCAGGTTGATTTCAACTCACAGCCAACATTTTGGTTAGCAGCTGAGCTCTTAACTGTTACACCACAAGGGCTCCTCAAGATATGGATAGGGAGACAAAAGCTTGGTAAAGAAGAAAGAGACAGAGAAGAGCATAGGAAGAGACAAAGACAAATAAGAGAGAAAGAAAAGAGAGGTACAGAGAGTGGGAAATGATGCTGGTACCTGTAGACAAACAAGGAGACAAAGACTTACTGAGTGTCCACCATGTATCTAGCACTACGGCAGACTCTTCATATATTTGTTACTTGTTTAATACTTGCAGAAAATTCACCTTTAAAGATAGGTCATTTCACCCTCATTTTATAAATAAGGCCACTCTGACTTAGAATAGTTAACAAACTGGCTCGTTTACTTAACTAGTAAATGCCAGAACTGAGATCTGAACCCATGTCTGTCTGACTCAAAGATCACGTGCTTTCTACTAAGAAAGGACCACATTACAGTCCTTGGCCTATTAAGTAGTAAGTACACAATTTGGGATTAAAACACAGGATACTTTTTGTTTCCAATATCTTTTTCCTTCCTCTTTTATTTCTGATCAAGCTTTCAAAGCTCAATTTAAATCTTCGTTCCTCATGTACCCTTTCTGACCATAGTAACCTCAGAAACTTTCTCTCTCTCTTTTAACAAGCATTTATTTATTTTTTAAAATTATTTATTTTTTTGATGTTCTCAAGGATATACACACTAAAAACAAACACCAATTCAAGTTTCTACGTGTACATTTCAGTGACATTGATTACAACCATCTTCACCCTCGTTTTCTGAGTTGTTCTTCCTCCATTACCATACACTCACTGCCCCCCTAAGGTTCCTATCTAATCTTTGCAGTCACTGTTGTCAGTCTGATCCTATATAAAAACCAAAAACCAAACCCATTGCTGTTGAGTTGATTCTGACTCATAGTGATTACAGGACAGAATAGAATTGCCCCATACGGTTTCCAAGGCTTTAATTTTTATGGAAGCGGAATGCCACATCTGTCTCTTGTGAAGCAGCTGGTGAATTCAAATTGTTCAGATGCCTACAGAGACCAAGAAGCATAAATAAGTAAAGCCAGGTGAGTGCTAATAATAAAATTAAGTTAGAGAGTGGTAAGGATTATGGTGGACTAGACAGTAAATGTCTAAGAGGACAGAGAAACTCAGCTCCAGCTGATAATTACCCTGAATGGAATAGACCCCAAAGTTGCCAGATGTCCTGTTTTGCAGTATAAATTGGACATCTAGATTTTTATTTGAAATCTCTATTTAAATTTGTCTCAATTTTGTAAAAATGCTGTTCAGGCTAAACAAAACACATCTCTGTTCAGATCTGGATTTGGACAGTCAGTTAGGGTCCTCTAGCCTTTTCCATTGATTTAACCTTTAGCATATATTACTTTGCCTTCTTAATTATTTTTAGGCTTAAGTTCTACTTATCCAACCAGAACTATTGAAGTGATCTGGGGGTAGATAATGAGGGCCTGAACTAGGACAGTGGCAGTAGAAAAGATAAGAGGAATTAGATTAAAGAGAGACCTTTAAAAAAAAATACAATTTGTTTGGCAAATTATTAGATTTAGAGGGTGTGAAGGTTAATTATATGTGTCAACTTGGCTAGACTATGGTTTCCAGTTATTTGGCCAAACACTAGTCTAGTTGCTATTCCATAATATAATCTAATATAAATTATAATGTTATTACCTTCCATAATGTAATCTAATGTAATGTGATCAAACAATCAGTTGAAAAGAGAGTTTCCTTAGGGTGTGTTCTGCTTCCAGAATATAAATAGATATTTTGGCAGAACTTTACTCTGCACTTTCCTGTTGCCTGACCTATGGATCTTGGGACACAAGCACATAGGAGTCTCCAGCCTTTTGCCTGACCTACAGATTTTGGACTTGCCAGCCCCCTACAATCAAGTGAACAAATTGCTTGAAATAAATTTCTCTCTCTTTCTCTGTAAAGAACCCTGACTAAGACAGAGGGCAAGGAAGGGAGGATGATTTGGAATTTCTCAGCCTGATATGCTGAAACGATTGTATTCTCATTGGTAGAAATAGGGAGTTCAGTTCATAGAGCATGGATGGGGTGAAAGAAAAAGTTAGACCTTTTAAAATCAAATTTGTGATACAGATTAGACGTTCTGGTGGTAGTGACCAACAATTTATATGTGGTGGTGAATGTGACAATATTGGGGCTAAGACTATTTAATCAGTGGGAGGTAGATATGGATCTAGTGACAAAGACGTTGAAAAGCTAGGGAGGTAGGAAAAGATTCAAGAGAGTGCAGTGATGTGGAATTCAAGGAAAGAAGAGGGTAGCCAAAAGGAGAGAGGGGTCAATAATGTTTCAGAGACATCAAGAGAAATTAAAATGTAGACAAAGCTCATAACAATGAGGCTATTTGTGGCTTTAGAATAAGCAGCAGAAATAGAACCTAGATGCAAAAAGTTAAAGACTGAATTAGTGATGAGGAAATGAAGGCAGTTTGTACGGACTCCCTTTTTTTTTTTTTTTTTTTTAACAGTGTGTAGGTTAAAGGTAGAAAAGAAAGAAAGCATTAACTCACATGTGTCCCGACAGGGTGTCAAGTGAAGGTAGAAGAGACTAGCAGGCAGGGGAAAGGAGAAGGGTTGAGAAAGGCAGATACTGTGAGAGTAAATGAGGAAATAGAAGATGTGGAAGAATAGCAGACTATGTTCAGAAATGGGAATTTTATACACGTAGATCTGGAATGTAGAGCATTTCTGAATGATGGGGACATCTGCTATGAGATTGTGCTAATGTTTTCTTGAGGCTGGCTGATGGTGACGGTCATTGGATGTGATGAGCTGGGTGCAGTCTATGGCCACAGGATTGAAAAGGTCATGCATATAGGAGTTTACATTACTAAAGAGGTAGGTCGGTTTGGAGTGACAAGGAGAGAAGTGCTGAATTCATTAAGGAAGGTAAATGTATGTTAGAAGGTAAGGACAAGAATGCATGTGCTTTTGCTAGGTATTGTGGAACAGTCAAGAGAGGCATAGAACTTGGATTTTTGTCCTCAAGAGAGTAAA